GCTACAGCTTCATCTCGGAAGGTTCGTTCAGTGCCGAGTCGCAGAAGGTTCGTATCAGTGCCGAGTGCAGCGCGTATGACTGGGCATCGCGTTGCAGCTTTATCTGGAGCTGGAGACGATATCTACGCCATTCTCGTGTCCTCGAGAAGTCCGCGTCTACTCGACGACCAGACTGATAATATACGATGTCTCAGTCTCAGCTGTGCTTCTCAGCTGTACCGCTGGAACTACAGGCACCACAAGCTTAGCGCGTACGGAAGCGAGACATGACAGAACCGGAACAAGAACAGGAATCGGGAAGATGCGTGGGGAACGACTCGATCTTCGATCGCGAGTGTTCCATCTCCGAGCTGTTTATCGTGGGCAGATCAAGTTCCGCACCACCGTCGATTCAGTTACTTCAGGAGATGGTTCGACCATCGAGAGAGACGCCGAGCAGCCACGGCACCACCGTCAGGCTTTTTCAATCATTTGTTGGGCGGGAGTCTTCGAGCTGGAGCTCTTGCTGAGCTCTTTTCCCGCAATACTGTGGACTCGCGATTTCAGCAGCGGTGACAGGCTTTATGACTCCGTTCCTTGCTGAAGCCTTCCAGCCATTATTGTGCATGTATCTGGCGCTCAATAGTGATCAGTGCACTGCCACTCGTCGCTTTCTCAGGGTTCCTGGTGTCATGAGCTTTTTCATCGGTCTCGTGTCGGATTTCTACCCGATCTGGAACTTTCATCGGAAATCGTACATGCTCGGAGGCTGGGTTTTTGCCTACGTGGCCCCTCATGGCTCTTGTTGTGGTAACTCTGGTCGATGATAACACCGACTTGACGTACGCCAGTGTCCGGGCTTTTATGGAGGAGCAGTGTACGTGCTCTTGATGGTGGCAGCAAGCTTAGGAGTCACCGTGGCGTCAATTGCTGCCTTTGCTCTGTTGGTGGAGCTTTCACAACGCGAACCGATTCACGAACGTGGCATGTTACTTGTCCAGTATTTGCTCACACAGGAGACGGCAACGCTGTTGGCGAATGTTACGATTGCTTTCATGCTGGGATACAATGAGACGTCAGGAACCACAGAAGCTATGGTGTCGATGAAAGTGGTCATTTTGATCATGGCAGTTGTTACTTTGACACCGATTCCAGCGGTACTGTTTCGACTGGACGAAGAGCCACGGCAGCTCAAGGTGGATACAATCGACAGGTTGTCACTTACGCGTCAGCTATGGAGTATTTTGCAGCAAGAAGCTGTGTGGCGCACGCTCGTGTTCGTGTGCTGTTCGATGTTCCTGTCATCATTCCGATTTAAGTTTTCTGATGCCGCCGTGTTGTACTGGGCAAAAGTTACACCTGATGACGAGCGTGTGGGCGAGATCCTCAAGCAGGTTGTCACGATCCTTTCGATTTTGGCATTCCGGCTCACGTTGTTCAACTACAGTTGGATCCGCATCGCTGTAGGAGGCTTGCTCGTTGGTGTGGGTGTAACACTCCTGGTAGCGCTTCCAACGATTTTCGATAGTGTTCGCAGTACGTGGTATACGATAATGATCTCTTCACTGATTGGAATCTCGCGCGCAACAATGTTGTTGGTAACATTGCTGCCAATTGTAGAGATTACGGAGAACTGCTTGGAAGGAGCGACGACCGGGCTCGTATCGTCCTATATCACATTGATTGGCATGGCCATCTCGACGTTCTCCGATGCGATCAGCACATCGAGTGCAGGACTAACAAAAGACTTTGCCGAAGACGTGATTGCAAAAGATACTTCCGACACGCGAACTCAAGTATTGTTGTTCGTCGTTGTGAACTGTGCGATCAATCTACTTGCACTGGTACCAATGGTTTATTTAGTCCCGAGGCAGAAGCTCGAGGCGCAAGAGATGCTCACATATGGTGAACGTAATCGTCTAGCTGGGATTGCTATTACTATTTTGTTTGTTGGTCTCGTCGCCTATGCTGGCACAATAGACGTGTTGATGCTATTGAATAGCACCAAGTGACACACAAGAGCATGATTACAATGAGCAAACAAACCGAAGTTTTTTTAATAAAGGAGGCACGAGTTGTCATCTCGAGTGCTGCAAACGCTGTAGTAGAGTCAGTCCAGTGTAAACGATTTCGGTCAAGTAAGACTCGTACAACGATATTATCATGTAATTCCAAGAAGTGTCCATTCCAATTCGTTTGTTGCCCGTCGTGTACCCAATTCGTCTTGTATTGAATCAATTAATTGCTTGCATGTAAACATAGATATGGATACATGTACCTATGTAGCCATTCGTCAGATCATGGAGCTGTTGCCTCGATACATCCCGTGCGCTAATCGAATGCGAGGCGTACTTACGTCGCTGATCGAGTCAGTTTGGCAGGTTTGCGTGCACCACACTCTACACTCCTTTCAGAGAAAAAATAAGATAAACAGATTCTGACGCGCCAACGTTTCTCCGTCTGTAGCCACTTTACAAGCTGTATCCATCTCATAGCTGTAGCTACTACCAAATCAGAAATACTCATTTACTCGCTTTTTCCTCCAGTCGTTTTACAACATGCACGTGACTGCACTGCCAGCTCCATCCGACTCGATTGCCACCATCACAGAAGCGCTGGCAGCCAACCGCGCGCTCGTAGCAGAGCTGCAATCTCTAGAGCAGTTGCTAGTCCAGGAAGAGTCGAAACTACTCGCCCAAACGCAATGTATTCGCCGTCAAATGGCGCTCCGAAGAGCTCAACGAGCAATGGACACGCTATTATCTGGTACATTGTCGCACGAGGCGGTACCGAATCAATATGACAGGACGCCACGTCGCAGGAAAAAACTTGCTGGTGTCGTGCCTCGTTCGTACATTCGTCCCCACGTGTCGTTCTTTACTGATGACGTTGAGAAGGAACGAAAGGTGGGACGACCGTGGAAGAAGCTGAAGCAAATAAAGGAGGACGAAGAGGAAGGAGATCAGGAGGTACTGGAGCTTGGAGATGCAGAACGAACGGCTCTTTGCCGTCTACCGGAGCCGCCATGCAATGCTGACACCAAATTTCTCCGTGCTCATAGTCACGAGTCATTTGTAGCAGGTGTGCCAACAATTTTCTCGAGTCGAGAGCGGAAAGTCGTTGCTGACTTTGCCGAGGACTTTTACACGACACACACAGCGGACGTGGAGATTCCGTTGCAAGTGTGGAACGGTATTCGTGCGTGGCAAGAGGCACGCAAGTCGAGGAAGTTTCCAATCGAACGCTCGGGCTTTGCGTGCAAGTTGTGGTACGATTTGCACGAGTCGCCCAAGTTACGGCTCGGTGCGTGGACAAAAGCAGAAGACGCAGCTCTTCGACGACTAGCTACGGGACAAGAAGATCCGAAACTGGTGAATAAGTGGCACGATATTGCAAAGCGCATACCGGTGCCTGGAAGACCAGCAGCACACTGTCTTACTCGGTACCAGACCGCACTGAATGCGGGTAGCACACGGTCAAACTTTACACCGGAGGAAGATCAGATACTACGTGAAGCTGTCCCGGTGTTTGGCGAAAAGTGGAACGTGATTGCGGATTTACTGGATGGCCGTGTGTCCGAACAGATCCGCCATCGATGGCAGCTCTCGCTTGCTCCAGGTCTTCGGCGAGGCAAGTTTTCACTGATCGAAGATCGAAGACTGCTGCTTGCACTCCGTGCGTACGTGCCGAAAGGCAGTGAGTTCAATCACGACCAAGTGCCGTGGAATGATATTTGCCATCATGTGCCTGGACGAACGCAGCCAGCGCTTCGAGACCGATACACAAATTGCATGAACCCGGACTTGTCGTTCCGTAAATTCACCAAGCAGGAAGATGATATCATTCTCGCACGAGTGCGTGAGTGGGGCATCAATTCATCCAGACTCTGGCCCAGACTTGCTGCTGAGCTAAGTGGTCGCACTAAATCTCAACTGTGTCGACGCTGGAAGCATTTGGATCCGGATGCCTACGAGAAGCGTCGTAGAGCACTACTAGATGCTAGCAATAGCCATGCAACAGCCGTCTTCCGTCGTCGGTCGATACATCGACATGATCCTCGCTACCGGAATAAACATACCAAGCGCAGCACATACAATGGTCTCGCAGTTGAGCAAGCCACAACCGAATCATTTACCCGAGATCATGCGAACGGATCTATAACGTTGTCCAGTTCCGAAGAGCTGGAGATGCGCGAGACCGAATGCCAGGATGGTTCGACCGAGTACGGTCTGTAAGACAAGCCAATGCAGCAACCTTGGCAGCGTGATACGTTGGCAGGCCAGGAGATTTTTGAGCGTCTGGTCAGCATCCACGGACGGCAGCTATATACGGAAGCTCGGATGCACATCGACGAGACGTCTGGTCAGCCCCTGTTGATCTTCAAAATTCCGATCATTGGGGTGATGTGGCAACTACTTAAGTGACGAGTGGTCATGCAGGTCGGCATTAGAATCGGGATGCTGTTTGCCGTAAGATGCCCTCGGTGCGTTTAAATTCTTGATCATACAGGGCTCGTCGCACGCTTGTTAAGAGATGGACGAAAAGATGCAACGAGCAGCAGTGCTTTTGCACAGCTGTGTTTGCGACCTATGACGATAAGCACCATGCAGCGCGAATCTATCGTTCGAAAGAATGAACTTGACGCACGAAGACGTTACGTCAAGTGCACAACGACCAGGAGTCCATGACGTCGAAGAAGTACATAGAGAGGCATCTCCACATGCACGAACGTACTTGACAAGTATCTGTAGACGCTAGTCTTTTCAGGCATGGCGAACAATATACGATTTTTGACAACCATAGGAGCCGGATGAATTTGTCAAGCGACGTTGCGCCGCTTTTAGCGTCTTCAGCACCTCAGCTACTCCACGAAACTTAGTTGACCCAGAGCCAAGGCGATACCGATGAGCACAACGGCAAACATCCACAGCGCGTGACTGGACTCGGAAGTTTTCTTCAGCTGCAACGGACGCTGATTGTAAGCAGTTTTACTCTCGACTTCCTCGTCCTTACCAAGCAGCCTGCCACCCCAGCGAACCTTTTCCTCCTTCTTGTCTTCTGCCACTTTTTCCTTCAACATCATCATGGCTTTACGGATATTTCCATCCGTTGGGTGGTGTTTAGCAGCTCTAGTTAGCTTCTCCTTTGCTCTATCTAAATCTCCCGTAAGCAATAACGCACGTCCACCACGATAGAGTGCTTTATCATTTTTCGGATCAATAGCAAGTGCCAAATCCGCGTTTTCAACCACCTTCGCCAACAACTTCAAGTCCGGCTCGCCATCTTTTGGCGCTCCTTGCAGCAAATAACAAGCTGCAAGATTCAAGTACACTGGCAGCCGTACCACGTTCACATCGGCTCGATTCTTGTTAGTAAACTGTATAGGGCACAACGAACAATTCACAAAAGCGATAACGTTAGCCTCTGACTCTATTTTACAGATCTCTAACTGGTCATGTTATCGTTATCTTTTTTACCGCACCTCAAAATGCCACGTTCCCTCATCAAAGTCCACGTGATAAAGAGCACGTTCGTACCACTTGACGGCCTCGTCTGTATTTCCAGCCTGGAACTGTGTCGAGCCCCGTTGACGACAAAGATCGGCTTGCTCAATGCGCACTTCGAAAATACACGACCGTTCCTACACGTTTTAGCGTTAGAGCGTTAGAATAGAATTCCCTTATCACGATGATATAGCGTCAATTTATGACGTGCGGTAAAAACACGCACGCACTTACGCCGTCCATCAGCTTCTTGGATTCTTCATCCATATCAGTCGTGAATGATAGAGCGGCTGTGGCGCTAACAGAAGGCGCTGTAATAGTGGCTTCGTCCATTGTTTCGTGTAAACGAACACTAGATAAAATTAGAGTGATTGCGAGCCCCACGGGGGAAGCTATTTGTGACTGCGCAAAGTGAATGCCGAACTCGCAAAAGCTAATGCTAGGGAATTGAAAAGTTTTTTTTGGAAGTAGAATGTGCGACACCCACCCTTCGATGCAAACAAACCCACCCAAACTGTGTAAATATAAAATTTGCCACAAATTGTAGCGTAAATGCATAAAATCTAGATTACCAAATAAAACAGCACTGCGACATTTAAACAGAGAAGGGTGTGACCAGGAACATTGCGCTATTGAACTTGGATAGAAACAAAGACAATGCTTGCACCGCCTGCAGAGGATGTCTACATTTCACTAGCGGGCGTGAAGACGATAATTGTAACGGGCCACCCTTGGTTTGGGATGACACGAAACGTCACGTACACTAGTACGTGCAGAGGAAGCTAATCTACTCGAACAGCTAGTTTGAGTAAAGGGTGAAAAGAGAACTGTATTAATATAGTTAAGCTATCAATATAACTTTAGTCTTTATTTAACTATGTTAATCTACATTTCGTATGACGACAACCTGCTCACCACTCATTACACGCGTCTAGCAGCGATTGGTGGTAACCTTGGTTGATGTGTCTTTTATCAACCAATCTTTGAGCAGCACGTGAATATCTTCCTACACAAGGGTATAATATTTCTTCGATGTTACCTATCTCGGGTAAAATTGGCAGGGAATAGTCACGCTATACAACCTCCCTATTGACACCATTCGGTGTCAATATCATGTGACGGGCTACCCCGCTACATCACCCCCTTAACCATCAATCACCCGTTGATTGAATTGAATTGATTGGGACAGGGTAATCACCGTTAGACCACTCTAGGAAGGGGAGCATTTGTTGTACAAACTCCAACTCATTTTCCAATTCATCGCATGGTGTCAAAGTCCATGCGGTGTGCCGCCGAAGCAGCCAGAAAGGAGGTTGCACGCATGCGTGCAGCCGAAGAGAGTACTTCCCTTGCTTCAGCAACAGGCGATTCTTCGCCTGTGTCGCAAGCGAGCAACAGGAAGTGCCTGTTGCGAAAATTCCACGTGGTGAGTCACCACGTGCTACAGATGCATCCGCTGCGTCTGCAGCGGGTGTCGCGACTCGCAACGTGGATGAGTTTGAAATAGGCTCATCTATTCTGGCGAGTCGGATGATGCATCCGACTCGAAGGTGGCGCCTGCCTCCTCCGTATTATCCGGGGCGGACACTGCAAGAGCCAGGTTGTCTGGCTCTGGGGAACGTGGTGGCATCATGTCTGACATCTTCGGACCGAGCGATTCGTCGGACGAATCCCCGTCTCACTCACGTCCATATTACAAAAGGACGCGTAGTGAGGGTGGTGACGACCCTACGTCAACACGAAAGAACTGCCTCGAGGGATTGAGCTGCCACTGGTTCCAGTGCTCATGTGACACCACTCAAGAGTACAGGGACCGCAATGTCCTTCGCCATGCTCCTCAAGTGGATTCTCCTTGGATGCCATCATCCAAAGAGTTAGATCGAGTGGCCGGAATGACCACCGAACGGGATCGAATCCCGTTGTTCGACTGTAGGAGAATCTATCCTCCTAATTCCAGCACGGAAACTTTCCGTGCTGAGGAAGAATTCTTCACTGATGTGTTTTTCAAGCATCGATGGTACAATGACAACTGTGCTCGAGACGGTAAGGCCTTGGTGCAGGGATGGAATGTCTTCATCCATAACATTGACGTGCATTGGCCATGATGCCTGGCTCGGTAAACTAGATTCAGATTACATCAGGTTTGAATAGCGCAACCCAGTCGGTGTACGATACAATTGGACCGACTGTCAAGAGAGGCAGGGTTACCCTGTCTTTCTGGGGTCACTCGAGTCCAAGTTGCCTGGACAACTCGAATCATGCCCCTAGGGAGGCCTACCTTCCTAATGATCCCTAATGGAGGGCGCGATCTCTTACGAGATGGCCGAAGGGTTTAAAACTCTGCAATCCCTGTACTTGCGTTTGGGGAGGTCGTTCTCCGACGGCCCTTCTTCGAACGCAGCGGGTGGGTTTCGTCAAACTGCTCAAAGAGACCCAGGACATCAACAATTAGCTGGGCACGAGGCTTCCAGCTGTCCCCGGCCGATGGATAGCCACGCCAGCGGACGAGGTAACTCTTCCGGATGCCATTCACATCGCGGTAGTTCAAAATACGCTCCACCAGAAAGTTTTGACTACCTGAACCGTCTCGGGGGTCGTATCAGCTTGATGTTCAGGAACTGAACCGTGTAATCGATCAGTTACACGACGACTCGGCTCATGAACGGACTTGGCGTTATGAGCTCCATGACCTTGTTAGTGATATTTGCAAATCCTTAGCGCACGATCGTTTGAACGATCGTGCCGCGTTTGAGCTCATGCAACTGGAGAACGAATGTTCGACTCGTTCCCTTCGTGATGAGCTGGCTGCACTCGTCAGGACATCGCTCAACTGTGTGAGCAGGTTGCTTTGCTAGTCAACCAGACTGGCTCGTAGAAACGGGACCACTCGAAGGTGTCCTCTGCTTATGACCGTGGAGGTTCCTTCGCCTCTCGAAACGGGCTCGTACTGATAGTAAGGGCAAAGACCTTAAACGTAAAACATAGGATGCGTACGCATCCCAAGAGGCAGTTCGATCTTTATGAGTTGCCCATGCGGCGCAATACACGAAATGGACCGATGTACTGGGGCAGCATTTTGCTGCTGATCACGTTTGTCACTGCTTGTTTTGGCAGATTTATGTTGACAGTAAAACTAGGTTTTTTCCATTCAGTGAAAGAACACTTGCTCTTCCATGCTTGTCCGCGTTAATTTTCTGTTTATCCATTGCATCTGCAGCATAGTCTTGAGCGAAGCGGACAACCTCTTCGCGAGTCATCAGAAATTCCTCTGCTGATTCATCCTTGTTTACAGCAGTGCGCTTTGTGTACACTGCTAAAAGGACGTTGTCGTGTCCAGTGAGGGCGTAATCGTCCTCATTTTGGCAGTCATTGGCGATGCTGAATATACCAGCATCGTCGTCACCATCATCATCATCGATGTCGATGTGATCGACATCGGCATCCATTACGCCGACACCATTGTCGATGTGTGATGAGAAAAAACCAGACCGGTTTTCGTTCAAGCGAGTCCGCCCCCCTAAACTAGATTCACACTCTAAGAAGGTGGGTAAACGTGGATGAAATAGGCCATTCACGAAGAACGTAGTCCTTCATCCCGTGCACCCTTGCAGCCTCCACCTATTCCGGCAGAGTGCTGGCAGTCCGTATCGATGGACTTCTTCTCTTTGGGTTTTCCAAAGACGTTCACAAGAATACTGGTATTCTTGTGTTTCTTGACCGATTCAGCAAGACGGTCCATCTTGTTGCTGTACCGGAGTCAATCACAGCCCAGGGCTGTGCTCGTGTCTTCTTCGATACTATCTTTCGACTTCACCGGTTATATGCTAGATGCATGCACCGATCTGCTGATGGCGAATTCCGCCATCGGCAAGAATTCACTCCAACTCGCAAACGAGTGGACGTACCATCGAAGTATCTCTTCGAGTACGCGGTTGACGCGTTCCGTCTGACTATCTACTTTAGGATGGTCAGAAGTTGACATCGTCAAACGTGTTCCAAGTGAACGGAACACGGATTGCCAGAACTCCGCCGTAAAGCGGGGGTCCCTCTTAGACACGAGTTTACGTGGTAACCGGTGAAGTCGAAAGATAGTACCGAAGAAGACACGAGCACAGCCCTGGGCTGTGATTGACTCCAGTACAGCAACAAGATGGACCGTCTTGCTGAATCGGTCAAGAAACACAAGAATACCAGTATTCTTGTGAACGTCTTTGGAAAACCCAAAGAGAAGAAGTCCATCGATACGGACCGCCAGCACTCTGCCGGAATAGGTGGAGGCTGCAAGGGTGCACGGGATGAAGGACTAGGCTTCATCAGTTGACAAACTTCGCAAGCGCGAATGTATTTCCGCACAAACTCATACTGGCGGGGCCAGTAGAAGTCACGACTCACCATGAGGTAAGTCTTTTCTCTACCGCGATGTCCACTTGTTGGGGCATCGTGACACTCATAAATGATGCGCAATCGCAAATCATTATGAGACGGAACGAATACACGAGGTGTGTCGCCGTTGACTGCTGTATAGTACAGCAGTCCATCACGGACAGAATACCGTTCGGTTGAAGAGCGGTATTGAGACGACAAGCTTTTCAAAGCTTGACTACACGGATTGGATACGTAATCCATCAACCACAGAAGAGGCTCATCTTCTGCTTATGCTTGTCGCACGTCATCGGGCAGAGTCGACGACGGAACACTCACTGTTAGTGTCGCGACAGTGGAATCACCCCTACTGGTAGCAGTCGGCTTGAAATCGGGCCGGCGCGAAAGAGCATTAGAGACGACATTAAGTCGTCCTGTTTTATACTCGACGGAGAAGTTGTACTATGCGAAGAAAGACAGCCACCTTGCCATTTGTTGCGAGGGGTATAAACTGTTCACGGCCGTGAGTAACAACGCATGGTCGGTATAAACGATGAAGGGCCTATCTCCTAAGAGATATACCCGAAACTTGGCCAGTGCCTATTTCATGGCAAGGAGTCCCTTGTCATGAACCGGATAATTTCGTGTCAGCTGCAAGCACTCGTCGCCGTCTGAGTCGTGCTGCATTAACGCGCAGCCGATTGCAAAATTCCTGGCGTCACAGACCACATGAAATGTCCTATCCTGACCTGCAATTGCCAACACAGGCGATTGCACCAAGCTTTTATTGATATCTTCGAAGGAGTGCTGACACTCAGCACTCCATGACTACCTCTCGTGTCTCTTTAGCAGACGAGTGAGATGTACAGTCGTCTCGGTGTAATTGCGCGAGTACTTGTGCAACTACGCCGCCAGGCCGAGGAACTTTCGAAGTCCCTTGACGTCGACTGTCACAGGCCAGTCGCTAATCGCCTTGATCGTTTCCGGATCAGGGCGTACACCGTTTTTACCCACGATGCAGCCAAGAAGTGGTATTACGTTCGCTGCGAATATACACTTCCTGAGGTTCGCGAACAACTTATGCTCTCGCATAAGCACAAGAACCTTCCGGACGTGGATTCTATGGACCCCCACGTCCGTCTTTCCATCCATAGCTCTGCGGTGGACAAAGACATTGTCAAAGTAACTCAGTGCGAAATCTCGCACCTATCGCAACAGATTTTTGACATCTCTGTTAAATGTTGCAGGGGCGTTACTTAGCCCATGTGGCATCACTAGCCACTCCCAGAGCATACCACTGGGAGTGCTCACTGCAGTGTACGGGATGCCCCGTTCACGCATGAGGATCTGATAGAATACATCCATCCGATCCACGGACGAAAAGATGGTACTTTTTGCCATACCATCTATAGTGACGTCCTTCCTCGGTATCGGCGTCTGAGACGGTACCGTTGCAGCGTTCAATTTGTTGAACGCGTGCACTATCCGCCACCCTCCTGCGGACTTTCGCACAAAGAAGGTCGATGAGCTGTGTGAAGATGTGGATTACCTCACATGACTAGCCGCTAATCGATTGGCAAAGAATTTGTCGATCGCTGTTACCTGTTAACGAGGCAGTGGCCACTGCTTCATGACACAGTATTTCGAACCAGGTTTCTATTCGATCTCATGCCGAGTTCCTTTGTTTTTGGGCAGCTCGAATGGCACGGATTCAGGGGAAACATCCCCGGCTTTCGACTAAAACCTTATACAAAGAATTTGTCTTCAAAAATTCTCAAGATTGATACGTGTATCGCTCAATCCGGGTCTTTTCACCGAGGACACTCTCGTCCATCGATGATCTGCTGAAAAACTCGTTCGTTCTCAGTAAACACTTGTGCCGACTGAATATCGGCGACGTACTCGTCCTCTGTGACGAGCACGCAGATCTGCTTGATCTTGTCACTAAGCAGATCTCGCAAGAATCGTTTAGATTCTAGCGTTGACAAATTGACTACCTCCAAAGCTGACTTCGGAGTTGTAACCAGAATCAAGTGTATACGCACCTACGCTTGATCCGTCATTCACCAAGATATTCACTGTCTCGGCGATTTCCTGGGAAAACACATCCGCAGGTGGTTGCGGATCCAAACCCTCAACATTCCTCTCTCGGGAGTTATTGCTATCAGGAACGCTAAAACGTTCTTACAATACATGTACTGACTGTGGGTGTACTACCACAGTCACGTCCTGTTCGATCGACTCTCTTTCAGTCGATCGGGCTTGCTCTACGATTGACTCTCTGATAGTCGATCTCGCTTTAACGCGTTGTCCAGCCTGAACAACACCAATTTCTCTAATTGGATGCACCCTTCTTGGTGTGCATCCGTGTTCCAGTCCACTCGATCTCTTCGAGTGGTGAACCTTTGGCGCAGCCTGTGTCTCTACACAGGTGCCGGAAGCTGGTTCCACAATGTAGTGGCCTTCTATACTGTGATCTTGTGCAGTTGTACTAAAGACCGTACCACAAGTGAGGCCATCGCACTCACTCGTAGTACATCCACACGCTTGTGGACGCTCCAAAACTTTCATCAAATGGCCATCTGATAAACAAACGGCAGGCATCTTCACGGATCGATGCTGCCAGATAACCCATGGCTGGTATTTTCAAAGCCATGAAAGACCGAGGATGACATCAAAATTGTACCCAAATCTAGTACGATGAAGTCATCATCTTACTGCTTTTCTTCTAGCGTGTAGTGGATTCCCACTACACGTTTGTCCACTGATACGGATGCGCCTGTAGCAGGGCACACCGTCATCCTCGTTAAAGGAAACTCTCGCTCAACATAGCTGAGTACACTGACCCTTAGCGACTGGCGTCGAATGAAACTGTTCGACGCACCACAGTCAGCTAGGACGCGAAATGACATTCCACTTGTCACTTCGATCTTCAAAGTGATATGAGACTCCTCATCACTTAGAGCAGTAACACACAGAGACTACGTGTTGGGAGCAGTCTTCGCCAAGCTTTCTGCAAACCCTCTTGACGCTGCTGAACCAGCAGGGTTCTCCGCCCCTACTGAACATGACCTTTTTTGGCGGTCCGACTTGCTGTCGCGGCTTCGAGACATGGTCGGACCCACGCCTTGGACCCTTCCTTTGCCAACGGCGGTCATCACGTCCTGTTTTCGGACGTGATGCGGTGCTTAAGACACTGCACTCATGAGTGTAGTGTCCAATCTCCTGACAGCGATGACATCTTGCCGTTCGCTTGTAACTCAGAGAGCGAGAGTTCTTGATCTCGATGTAACAGAGGTCCATCGGTTCGGGACCTGCTGTTTCCCGTCGTCTCGTCGGACGATAGTTTGACGAGTTAGCCTGAGACTGTCTCAGGCTGAAGTCTTCTTGTTTCGCACACGCTATCGCCTTTTCCAGGGTATGGAAGTTCTCTTGGAACATGTAGGCCTTCACCGGTCCATCTACAAGACCGTAGATGAACACGTTGATGAGCGTATGCTCATCAACAGGGCTTTTTGTAACGCTACTCGCAAGGTAGCGCAGGCGTTGTGCGTGAGCGTGCACGTCACGCTTAACTTGCTTGAGCCTCAAGAGTGCAGAGCGTGCTCTGAACTCGGCTCTTGGCGGCTCAAACGTCTCTTTAAGCCGAGACTTCAAGATCTCCAACGACTCAAACAAGTTTGGGTCGTGAAACTTGAGCCATAAGGCCCAAGTCTTTGCTCGTCCTGTCAAATTTTACAGGGCGAAGATGACTTGCATCTCGTCACCCTCGATGTGATGGGACCTGATGGCATCGTCTTACTCGACGAACCATCTCAAAAGGGAATCTTCATCGGTTTCTTTGTACCTTCAGATATCAATATTCATGGTTTCGGGTTGACGCATGTGCGTCGGTCCGACCATTGACTGATGAGAGCCTTGCTGCTGTAGCAAGGCTATCTTCTGTCGTTCGACGGCAAGTTCCCCTTGTAGGAACTTGTTGATAGCAGCATGTTGCTGGTCTCTGCTTAGAGACTCCAACATGCCACTAATGGCGGGCTTTCCCATGAGCACACTCATGCGGCCGACTACCTCCCATTCTAAGTCACTCAGATGAAAGTAGCCTTGACTTTTGACGTGATATCTGTCGTCTTCAACGTTCAACATGTTCATGTAGAACGGACACTAAGTAGTCGTTGGACGGACTACGAAGTTCTACCAGGTGTAACGGGGCACCCTTTGTTTGGGTTGCAACGAAACTTTAAGTAATCTAGTACGTGCAGAGGAAGCTAATCTACTCAAACAGCTAGCTTGAGTAAAGAGTAAAAAGAAAACTGCATTTAATATAGTCAAGCTATCAATATAACTTCAGTCTATATCTAACTATATTAAACTACGTCGTCATATGACGACAACCTGCTCACCACTCATTGCGCGCGTCTAGCAGCGACTCGTGGTAATCTATGGTTGATATGCCTTATATCAACCAATCTTGGAGCAGCACATGAATTATATCCAAAAAAGGGGATAATGTTCCTTTAATATTATCCATCTTGGATAATATTGGTAGGATATTGTCATGCTAGACAGTATCCCTGTTGACACCGTTTGGTGTCAATATCATGTAACGGGCTACCCCGGTACACGTGAAATCGAAGCTAGTTTTGCTCGCTGATTTACTCGTGAAGGTTTTTGACCCACGCAACTCGTATGGATGCGCAATCTGATACACCTTGACAAGGAAGGTAAGTCGTAGCCGAGTAGGAAATTTAGAAGTTAACATTGCTCATGATACTAATGCACCTGAAAAGGCGTATGAAGCAGTTGAAGTAACGGCCGGCAATTTCGAATGATAGGAAGCGCTAGAACGAATTATGGAAATTGCTAGGTAGAATGATGAGAAACGCAAGACGGATTGATGCAAAGTCAATTCAGCGTTATGAAAAATCTAGCAAAAAAGGCAGAATCTTTTTATTATAACTCTTCAGACTTCCTTCGAGCATCTACCAACACTGGCATAATCGAACACATACCACGGCGCGGAAGACGACAGCTCTCCTGTGCATGTCCTGCTTGCATCTATTACGATAGTATGGCCAGCCTTTAAGTCAAAGTCATGCACATTTGGCTATCTTATCCTGGTCACCGTTCTCCAAATGCAACCAGTGCTCAGGGTCTACTATTTCACAGGTCCACCGCATAATAATGAGTCATCCATACAGACGCCAAGTGCTTTATGTACTGCTCATGCATAAATTAGTGCACCAAACTCAGTGCACACCCAAATACGTCACAATATTATGTCACGCGAGACCCGAGATTTGGTAGCAGCCACAAACACTACATCAGCTTCGTCCACTCCTTCCTCGCCTTGCAATTACGACCATGAAACAGGCTCTTAAGCGCTCCAACATCATGATCTTTGCAAGTGAAGTGCCTGTTATAAGTGCTCTGAATCCGTATCGTACGATCGAAGACGTTTTTCTCAACGTCTGGCGTCGTACGAATCCGCGACAAGTCTCTGCATTGCAAGAAGATCTCGCTATGTCCGTCCTCCCCAGTCAGGAAGAAAAGATGCGAACTATTGTCCAGGACTTGGGGGTCGCCCAAGCCATTGAAAAGCTACTTCAAAAGGCCTCGAAAGCTGACACGATCCAACAGGTGGCACAAGCTCAAGCTCAACTGGTGCAATCATTACCGACTACCACTCCCCTTGACGTCAAGTCGGACGTGGTTCAGTTCGTCACGTCGTCCATGCACAAAGAGTTTGGGGTGAAACATGAAAGCGCAGGTATTCAAGCGTATGAGAAAAAGGAACGTGTTGTCGTAAATGACCGAAACGTCAAGTTTGCCAAGCGAAAGGTCGCGACACATGGGACTTTCACCGTAAGTGTAGGCGGAAAAATCGATGGACGAGCTGATGGCAAAGTCATTGAAGTGAAAAATCGGCTCCGAAAGTTCTTGTCACCATTGCCCAAGTATGATGTCGCTCAATTGCAGACGTATTTGTTTATTCTTGGAGCTCAAGAAGGCGAGATCGTTGAGCACTTGCATGCTGCGACGACGCAGACGAAGATGACGCCAGTGGCGTGGGACGGAAAGATGTGGCATGCAGACATTGCGCCGTACCTTGTCAAGTTTGGCAGTGCGTTGACGTACTTGATGCAAGATACCGTGGTGCAGAAGGACTATCTTCAGTCGGATAGTGCACAGCAGCGTGAGATAATCAAATACCTCTGGAGTCGTGAAGTGCAGCAGACGATGCCATGACGGACGGTCGATTTCCAGCCACAATACGCTGAGGTGCTATCACTAAAGGTGTGAAAATTCATGGCTGCTTTTGGCTGCTGATGTTGATGGACTGAATGAATGGATGTTTTGATTGGAGCGCATCGAACAACCAGATCGATGTAAGCTGGTAACCTAGAAAGAAGGGCACACGCAACAGTGATGATAACGAGCCGCTAGAGAACAATGTTTCGTGTGGATTTCGCCTGACAATGAGAGACATCAACGGACCCACGTTTTACTATTAAATGACGCTAAGCACTCGCACGACAATTGCCGCATTTGGATCCAACGAAGTTGAGGTGAGTGTTATAAAAGTTGAAGTGTGACTAAGCTCTAACACAATGTAGAAAACAAAGTCACTGGTATAACTCAGGTACCTTTGCACGATTGTACCTTTGCACGATTGTACCTTTGCACGATTGTAAGTGTATAGTGGCTAACGCTTGGGCCAATTTTACTCATTTTTCCGTCGCAATGGTGCTGATGACATGTGACGAGGCTCACAGCTTGGTGCTCTAAAGGAGTAAAGTTAGAGATATTGTCTGGCCATATTGTGGGCTGCTTAATCTGAATACTAATTACAGCACTTTTTCTTAATTTGGCAAGATTTGGTGAGATATGTTGTTGTCGTGCGGTGCATAGCCTACATCTTCGCTTAGCTTGACGATGTCGCATCCCACAGCGCTTCGTTCTGTGACACCCTCGTAAGTGTCTTACTGCTCTCGATTCGCTGCCGCTGTGACGTGTAAATCTGAAGAAAATATAAATGGCAACAAGGGTAACGTGGACAACTATTTACCGTGGGCGTGAGAAATGCTGGCCTGCAGCCTAGCATAAACGCTTGGCTGCAAGCCAGCATTTCTCACGCCCATTTAACGTATCGTTTACGGTCAAATGTCTTCTGCTGGAGACGCTGATGATTCATGAAAACTCGTGTATAGCACATGCCTCGCTGTACTTGTGCCAATATGCAAATTGGTATGAGCTGGCGAGACAGTGTAGAAAAAACAAAGATGCAAGTGTGTTCAAGAATCAAAATAGCTTCGTGTCCTGTGCCACGCGAACCGTCCTCGCAAGAAGTGCACTTCAACATGATCGTTTACATCAAAGATCCAATCTGGCAGCAAACATCATTTCATACTAAACATACGCTACATTCTCCTGCGCATCAAACATCCCGAGATGATACATATTTCTGCCGTGAAACTGCCATGTCATTTTAGCCGCACGTACGCAATACACGTCATCAGAACATCCTAACGCGGTTACTGGCCAGACGGCTTACGTCATCGAAGCAACTAATGTTACTGCTATTCATAACGGCTTATCAGAAAGAGTAGACATGGTGTCGGGTTTTAACACAAAGTCTTGCTCGTTTAAGCAGGCGATATACCTGCGGTAGCATCCAGATCAAGTTAGTTACTTTGTTCCTTGTGTGCAGGATTGATTTGTGTGATCCACTACTTACGCAGGAGCTGAAAGCGCCACATCAGCAGCTACAGGATTGAAAAAGGGTTTGTGTTGCATTTGCTTGCGCGACACTTGTGATAAACCATGGCAAGGGCATCAGCGGCTATCGTGCACAGCACCAGTTCTTAGTTATGTGATGCAGACAAAATGACCATTGCGATGTTTCCAGTACATTCGATTTGTCTTTCCATGAGTCCCACGATTCGTGCACCTACGAAAAGCGGTGTTACGACTGATAACAACATTTTGCGGCAAATATGATGAATCCTGACTAGTACATTTGATCTTGTAATGCTGCGTCCCGATAAAAATAGCCTACAACGCGAACACAGTTGGCACCCGAAATTTTACAAATGTCATGTGAAGAACGCAGCGTCAAACAGCGGTTCTCTTTTTGTTTTGTGCTTTCTGGAGATGTAAATTTAACATGATCGTTATTAATCAGAATTACAAGTTTTTTTTATAAGTTGGTGAGTTGTTTTGATAAGAATTAATTTAAATTGATTGATTTTTCTAATACACAAGGTGAATAATTATAAACATATATTTTGTTGTTTTTCTTTTCATTTATATCCAATAAAGCTCTGCTCGAAATTACTTGTATCGATAATAAATAATTTGATATTTATTTAAATAATTTATATGATATTAAGATATTTTTATGAGAAATAAATAAATATTTGAAAGTCTTTTTTGTTTTTATATTAATTTTTTTAATTTATTTTCACTTTTGCAAATTTAAATAAGTATAGAATGATATACACATTTGCATCTTAAAAAAACTGGCAATAATTATCATTTAAAGCGATAAAGGTTTATTTGAGACGTGTGGCTGCAAACCGCTGCGGGCCGTGCAGGTTCAGTAAAAAGATTGCGGATCTAAATAGTCTTGATTTTCGCTACTTCATTTTAAATGAAAACGTTCTCTGCAAAACAGCTTTTTTCCGTCGTAGTCGACGTCCTGCTCTGCACTATAATGACACCCAGCTTTTGGCATGAATTAGAAGAGATTACGTAAACCTTTTTATTAGCGTGAACGACAAATCCCCACCTCGGCCTATTGCTGTAGCTGGTAGCACACCAGATAAGTCAAAACGGTGCATCTTGGAACGTAATACAACATTGATCCGTCCATCCTACCACGTCCGACTAAAGAATAAATGGTAAGCAAGCTTCTGACAATGTCATTAAGCCTCGCAGCATTACAATACAAACACGCCGCTGAAGCAATATACTATTTGATCCTGTGAAGTTTGTCGAAATGGCGATCCAGAGTAAGTAAAATTAAAATGAGAAAATTGCCGTTTTACAGTTTGATCAACACCTATTTCTACGTCCTTGTGATGATCTCATCGACCTGCGTGAACCTTTCCGTCCATCTGGCGACTCGTATGTAATTCAGTAATATGTGGAATCGATCAGGCCAAACTATTCGTAGCCAACGCTGCACTACACTCTAGGCTGTTCGCGCAAGCTTATTTTTATGAAATGAGGCAACGACGGTTCCTTAGCCTTGTAGGCAAGCCACATCAGCCACCCACAAAGCACGTGGTAGCTCATGAATTGCGGTGTGTACTAAGTTTCGATCTACAACTAAGCCGCATGATAACATTAAACCTCACAAGTCTGCACTCCAAAGCCACATGATCAGTGCGTCGACCAACACACTTGTGGATAATGCGCATAAAACTGAATCGCTGCTCTATTTAAGGCAGTGAAATTGAAAAAATGGGAGTTCGGTCGGAAAAGCAAATTTGCAAATGCCGAATTCGGCCCGGATGGTAAAGCCTTCCGTGTCAAGTATCGTGCTGATTATTCGATAAATAGAGCACTCGGTGCATTCCACGGCTAAGGGGAACTGCTAGGCGCTGTAGCTGTTGATCTATGGCACCAAAGATCAATATCATTACGGCGAAGGGAAACTGTTAGGCGCTGTAGCTGTCGATGAATGGCAAGGCATGATAAAGAATGTAATTGACCCGGAAACATGAAATCGTCTAGCTTGCTCGATTCCTTTCTTTAAACGAACCAGAACCATGCTAACATGACTCGTAACATAAATTGAGTTTTGCGTGAAATCGATAAGCCGAACGCATCTCGTCGCAAAACCCAACAATAACGCAATGACCGGGTGCATCTACTGTGCGGATATTCGATTGTAAACAGAGGGTTGAAGTACTGAACGAGTTGTAACGCTGATACGCTCTCCCAAAGTCCATTCATACGTATGACATCGAATCAGCGGCAGAGATCTCTCATGACCTTGCGCTACGGCGCATCTCAGCTGACAAAACGTTACTGTTGACTTATCTGCAACTGTTATCCTGTTTGAACCAAGTGTAGGTGGGCAGTTCCTCTTTGTTGCGTCGGTTCTTTGCAGGATCACTAGATATTTTTGGTCTTTGACAGCGGTAAGTATCTGCTTGCGGAGAAGTCAGCCCAAAAAACGCTGAGAACGGAACGACCCACACGTTTCATTTACACTGGATACAGGCGACCTTCACTCCCCTGCAAGACGCCGTCTTCTGCCTCTTCCTCGAGCCTTGTCGCAAGATGTATATTTACGTCGATAGACTTTTACATCCTTTTTTTGATGTGTCAGTGACAACGTTTTCACCATCTTACTCTTCTCAATACCAAAGTAAGCCATCCTTGTTTTAGATCAAGCAACCATTATTACGTACCAGTGACAAGCGACGGATGGATGGTATTCTACTCGAAGGGGTGGTATTGCTGCGCTCATTCAGCTGCGTACTCACGTGAATAGCTCGTCAAAGCGTTTTGTAGTGATGTGACGTTGGTCAAACTCGTTTGTGCTGTCGGAGTTGAATTGGCTTATTTTGCCGGATCTACAAGCGCACATTTCCACGCGGCACGATCTAATGACAGTGAACAAGATGAAAAAAAAACACACTTCAACTTCGGTCATCCTACTTTGCGACACCTGGCCCGATCACCATCTCAGGGAGCAGTCACTTTATAGAGATTCGACTGGTGCCTCTGCCATGTTAACAGCACTGATCGTATTGGATATTCTTGTCTAACTCGACTAGGTGTCAATATGGACTGTATCCTGAAATACACGCTACCCCACGAGAGCTGCAACAGTCAGTTTCCTTGTTGTACGGACACGCACTGCTCAAGATATCCTGTCTATCAACGTGTCCATGTGAAGGTGCTTGAACATGTAGTCGACTGAGCGCTGCTGTGTTATGGAGCACAGTTGCTGCTCAGAATCCATTCGGCAACAGGCCAATTCTCGATGTTTGTGTCGATAATTCATCTCAAAGGACATCATCGTTATTGCCATTTTGAGCCAAGTGAAATGTGGATACATGAGACTTGATGGCATAAGCGAGACTGGCACAGATTTGGTCACGACTGCAGATACGACCTAGAGCACGTGTCTATTTCATTGACAAAATGGCCAGTTGTCGTCGCCGTGATCTGTCGCTCGATCGCCAAGGCTTTTGTTTTCCACAAACGTTCGACCTGGAGTACGAACGAGC